ACGAGGGAGGGGACTTCGGAAGAGACTGTTTTCAATTTGGAGAAACCCGGAGCGGCGCGGGAAATGATGCAGCCCGGCGGTAGCCGAAGGATCTACGGAAGCTGCGGCGAGTTCAACGCCTCGACTTCTCGTTGGCGTCTCGTCGTCCTCGGGAGTCCTTGTATGGCTTAGACACGAATGAGATGAATGAGCGAGAGTCGTCGAAATTCCCACAGAATCCTGCGCTACACACGGGATTCATGTCGCGATGCTAGATGGATAATCGCGCTGATGATCATCTCCGAGCTAATCACCGACTGCGGCCTTCGAACGCGTCATGGGCCGACAGCATCTTCATCCGAATGTTTCCTACGCCCGTCGTCCGTCACGTTTTCACAGCTAATTCTTATAATTTTGGCCGCTTCCTGCCGCGCGAAGTTCGTCGAACCGCGCGCCGGAGCGCTGACCGTCATCGACGGTCGTCTATAATTTAGGTTCGCACTTTAATGCAGGAAATTTGTGACTCGGCGGTAAACAAAAAAGTAGTCCGAGATAACTTCGCGACCTGAAGCTCCTCGTATCGCTCAGATAGATCCCCGAGCTCTATACAATTTTGTTTTTCGTACGCTCAAAGAAGTGGTCTTGCAGTCATAATGAAAATTATTTAGAGATACTAAGTTATAACATAATTCGAGAACTATCGGAGATATTGGGGTAAAACTTTTTGTAACTTATTCAGTTATTGTCTACACGATCCTTAGATTAGAATCACATTTATTCAGATAATCTAAAGATCGGATAACTGCATTACTTTCTTGAGAGCCAAAGAAAATTTAGACTTTAAAAACGAACTTTTGGCAAATAATTAAAAAGTATGGAATAAAAAAAGCTTTTTTTTACAAAAATAAATTACTTCTAGACCTCAAAAGTGCTAAAAAGTATGAGACAACTTTGACTTGTAAGAGGATAATAAATAATAAAAAAAAGCATGATTATATTCAATCGGTCAGGCTTTCGCGCCGACTTCCGAGATCGCAATCTAATATGAAAATCTCACTCAAGCTCCCTCTCTCCCGTTCTTGGACACGCGAGGAGAGCGTACGAACTTTCAAGCCCGGCGATTCGGCGGCGCACCTCCGGCGTTTTCATTCATCGGTCCTCGGTCGCGTCATCAGCGTGACTCGTAGCTTCTCAGTGATTCACTTCTTTCCTCTCCTTTTTTCCGCTCTCTTTCCCTTTTGCTCCCTTTTATCAGATTCATTACCGCCGATATATAAATAGCGGAACCTGTTCCGCGGCCGCCCGATGATCGTAGGGCAGGGAAAACCGATTTATCGGCGCGGCGCGGCGCGCGAAAAAACGCGCACGGAGATGCGTCCGGCACGTATCAAGGCCGACGACGGCCAGCAGAAGAATCGCGACGCTCGACATAACACGGTCCCATGTATGTAGCAACGTCGACTTTACTTTCCGCCGATACGCCGCGACGCGCCCTCGCCTTCCTCGCCTTCGCTTTCGTACCTGTTTTTCGCGGGAACGCGCCGCGCATGCCGCCGCGTCGGCGGTGCTCTCGTCGTGGCGCGTCGCCTCGGGCTGCATTCAACTCGTTCCTATCGATATCGATATCGTATCGCGCGAAATAACGAAACCCGCTCCGTAACTTACTGCCCTACGGAACACAGGCGAGCCTCCTGCGCACGTGAATGCGATAAAGATATTATTGCCAACGGTTGCTAGGAAAAACACACATAGCGCACGGTACCTGGCGAACACGAAACGATAAGCACTCCTTTGTACAGTGGCTTGCAAACAGTTCAGACGCCGTTAAGGGCTCACACTCTCTTAAAGTGAATCAGTGAAATATCATTGAAAGCAGTGAATATGCACTGATTTGCAGTTATAAGTATAGCACTAAAATTGCCCAGTGCTATAATTATAACTGATATCAGTGACTATTCACTGATTCACTTTAAGAAAGCACTAAACTGTCAAAGTTAACAATAATTACACAGAGAAAAATAATTTGCTGGCCCAGCAAATTTTCTACTGATCTAGCAAAATCTTTTTGTTATTATATGGACAGCAAAAAAATTTACTAAGAGTACTAATCACTATTTTGCTGGATATAATTTGCTAAATCTACAAATTATTTTGCTATAAGAACCATGATGGATTTATATAAACAGTTGCAGTTTTGCTTCGATAGCAAATAAACTTAAGAATACACTAAGAATACATTATTTTGCATAATACTAACTAAGAATACATTATTTTGCATTAATAGCAAATTAACGTGATTCTTAGGACAAATACACTTAACAAATTTTTTCTATCCTGGCAACGAAACTATTTCTGTCCTGATAACGAATAATTTATAAAATTAGTTGCATCAACTAAATTTTTTTTTATGTCACTACGAATATGCAGTAACAACGACGATTTTGCTAAAAGAGCAAAATTATTTTTTTCCGTGTGTGCAAAAGTGATTCAACTCACAAAATTATGATTTTTGAAATTTTATTTTTTTTTACCAATATGGGTAGTTCTCGTCCTTCAATGTAAAGCAGATTCGAATTTTATACAATTATATAAAATTAATTGAAAACCAGTTTTCATTTTTTACTAACTGCGCTATTATTACTTGCGTCTGTTTACCTACTTTTTCAGAGTTAAGCTGATTAATAAATATCTTTAGAGAGAAGACAATTTTGACCATGCTGAACTTCTTCAACGATTGCGAAGAACCTTAGTACTATTTATACTTTTTGAGTCATGTTATATTTTTTTAATAAAACCTTCAACTGTATATTTGTCTCGAAGCGTGCTTCATATGAGTTAGATCATTCTTGCGTAACTACGGCCGATTGCGAGTCACATACAATCCGCGTCATGTTCAATTCTCTGCCATACATGGAGTGCGGCATAATGTCGATAATGACATTGTTCATTATTTCGCACATTTCTCCTTGTACGCACCAATCAGTATACCGAAAGTGGTCCCATGTTCGAGTTACTTAAATATCATATCGTATCATAATAATATACACGGAAAAAAATAACTTGCTGCAGCAGCAAACTAATTTGCTACATATGGACAGTTCAATATAATTCGCTGTGTTAGCTATTTTTTCTTTACTGCAGGAATCTATTTTCTTGCTATGATAACAAGAAAGTCCTACAACAAGAAAAGGGGTTAACGTAGCAAACTTGCTGCAGATGGACAACTAAAAATAATTTATTGCTTTAGCTATTTTTTTTTGTTGCAGGAACAGATTTTCTTGTTATCATAGCAAGGAAATTGCAGCAAAATAAAAGTGGCTAATACAGCAAATTATATTTAGTTATCCATATGTAGATCTTTTTTTTTTCGTCTAGAAATGATGAATATTGACGTCATCGAAATTGTCGCGCTCCATGCACAGCAATTGAGCCGCGGGCTTGCCTAATAATTATATCATTAATTATTATAATTTAGTGTTCTGAACTATATTATTAATTATATTATTACCGCGTAAATTCATCGCAATGACTCTCAATTTTGATAACTTGGTGAACTGCCACCTGCACGGTGTTCATTTTGCAATCCGCTGTCGCGATGAAATAATCTCACGAAGCAAGTACACACGAAAAAAAAATACATAGACAACTAAACATAATTTGTTGTATTAGCCACTTTTTTTGCTATAGAAACCAATTTCCCTATTAAGATAACAAGAAAATCTGCTTCTGCGACAAAAAAGTAGCTGAAGCAGTAAATTATGTTTAGTTATCCATCTGCAGTGGCGTAGCCGGGAGGGGACTGAGGGGACTGCAACCTCTCGAAATTAATTTTTTGGGTTACGCTAAGTGTGAAAAAAATTTTTGCAGCCCCCCCCCGAAACTTTTTTCTGGCTACACCACTGTCCATCTGTAGCAAATTTGCTGCGTTAGCCACTTTTCTTGTTGTACGAGTAGATTTTCTTGTTATCATAGGTTTCTGCAGCAACGAAAAAGTAACTAACACAGTGAATTATGTTTAAATGTCCATATATAGCAAATTAGTTTGCTGCTGCAGCAAATCTTTTTTTTCCGTGAATTGTTACACGGAGAAAAATAATTTTGCTCTTTTAGCAAAATCGTCGTTGCTACTGCATATTCCTACATAGTGACAACAACAAAATTTAATTGACGTAACTAATTTTACAAATTATTCGTTATCAGAGCAGTAGTTTCGTTGCTAGGATAAAAAATATTTGTTGAGTGTATTTGTCCTAAGAATCACGTTAATTTACTATTGATGCAAAATAATGTATCCTTAGCAAATTTATTTGCTATCGGAGCAAAACTGCAACTACTTATATAGATCCATCATGGTTCTTACAGCAAAATTTGTAGATTCAACAAATTGTATCCAGCAAATAGTGACTAGTACTCTTAGCAAATATTTTTGCTGTCCATATAATAACGAAAAGATTTTGCTAGACAGAAAATTTGCTGGGTCAACAAATTATCTTACTCCGTGTATAATTGCAAGGGGAGATAAGAGGAGAGTTCGCAATTGAGTAAATGCGAGAGAACCTCAAGACGTTTCACTCAAAGTGGCGACGCGCTTCGCGTAAGAGGGCTAATCGGCGAAGATCGGCGAGACACGCATTACGTCCTCGTCGCCGCTGGATTCGAAACGAAATATTCTTCCAGCAAATTCTACGATTGTGATTACTAACGCGGATTGGGACCGGGTGGGAGAGAAGAAGACGGAGACGCGAATCAGAGGAGAATTCCGAGTGTCGTCGGAATTCTCCTGTAGTGGAGGTGCGAATTCCTGGACGGGCCGGTGTAATGTGTAACATCGAGCGTGTGTAACGATCGGGACACGGTTTGTGCCCCCTTCCACACCTGTACGCGGCCACGATTCCTTCTCGCGTGCACACACGCACATAGGTGCGCTCCACGCACACCGGCAGGCCAATTGGAGAGCCAAGTCTTGGCCAAGTCTTTATAAGTAGGAGCCATCCGCGTCCTCAGGACTTACTCCCTCTCGGGAACGTGCCACGATCGGCAACCGATTTTGCAGAATAGTTGCTGAAAAGACGTCGCAACGTCCGTCGGGCCGTTCTTTCTCTCTCTCTCTTTCTCTCTCTTCTCTTTCTCTATTTCTCTTTCTCTGTCGCGGTGAGGTACACGCGAGTTCCCGGGGACCACGAAGGATTCGGGTCGCGCCAGGAAACAACGTGGAAAATCGCGAGATGACGACGAGGATCGCGGACGATTGAAGGGAAACGACGGGGATTCTTCGTCGAGTGCAACGAGATGTGAGTTCATATATGCATATATATTTTTTCTTTTTGCATTCGCGAATGTGAACGGAGACTCGTGCTTCTCCGATTAAAGGGACCGCGTTTACCTGGTTTGGTTATGAAAGTCCAGTGAAAATTCACTATCGTCGAAACAATTCGGAGTTAATACTAACGGTGTTAGTGACAGAGATTACACTCGGATCATCCATTAAATGTCAATCATTCTATTCCCGTATAAAATTAATTAACGACATAGTATAGATAATTAACTTCAGCAATTTTATCATCGGAAAATTTAATTAGAAAAATCGAGACAGAGCACACGTGTAAGAAGTGAAAAGAAACGCTAGTGAATTATAATTACGGTTAATAATCAATGAATTAGCACGTTTTGTGATGCTTTGTGGAAGTTGCCGTGACGGTTGAAATTGCGAGCAACGGACGAAGATAAACGCCTGTCATTTAAATGAGAAAGCCGGTCCCCGGTTTTTCGAGGCGCGAACTTCGTTCACGCGACAGCTCCTTTTTCTGCTGGCTGCGGGATCGCATTATAAATTAGTCGCGTAAATATAACTTATTGCCCGCGGTTCTGACTTTTCGTGGAAACACCGGCGAGAGTTCTTGCGCCCGCTCGAGAGAAGTAGATCGGTGGATCATTAACGAAGGTCCTAAAGGGAAACGATTAGCATAAATTTTTCGACGTCCGAGGTGCTTGGCCGGAGGTTTAGGCAGCCTCATAAATACTCATGTTGACCGTGCGATTACGATACGCCGGATAACTGAAGTCGGTTCCCGAAAACTCTACTCCGCTGAGATGCAAGCTAATATCGATAATCGAACCTAACGACGCGTTGAGTTGTTCAAACAGCTTTTACATTTTTTTTTCTCGCGTACTCCGCTAACTTATGCGGCAATCTCGTCTAACGTTTCCACTCGTATGAAAAAGAAACGAAATTCTATCAAAAAAAAAAAAAAAAGAGAAAAAAGAAAGAGGTAAAAGGTGCTCGGTGAATTTTTAATTTGACATTCTCTACAATGAATCTTGTGGAATGCTATTAATTTAGTATTATATAATATATTTAAATGCACGGAAAATCAGCTTAATAAAAGCTTTCCTTATCGTTATAAATAATTAAACGCTTCCGATGCATATCACTTGTGTCCGAATCTGAAAGCCTCAACAATTGTGAAATTAAAAAAGTTATTTACATTATACGAGAGAAAAAATCTGAATTTCCATTTGATTTTTCATAATGGATATCTCCGTCTAATAGAAATTGAGAGCAACATAGAAAAAAATTTTGTAGGATTAAGCAAATTTTTGGTGAAAAATATCAACAAATCAGAAATTTTGGTGGAAGTTATCAGAATTCTGTTCAAGATTCTTCATTAATTTGAATCGAGAATTCTGGTAACTTCAATTTGAATTTTCTAGTTTGTTTATGTTTCACAAGATATTTGATTAATATAATCAAACATGTTTATCGTGAATACACTGACAAGAAAAGAATTGCTACTATGACCAATTTTTATTCTCTTCATAAAAATTTTCTGCCGTAACCATTTATATTTTTGAGATAACGAATTGGTACTCGGAAAAAAAGATCTGCTAGATATAGACAATTAAACATAATTTGCTGTATTAGCCACTTTTTCTTTGTTGCAGGAGCCAATTTTCTTGCTATAATAACAAGAAAATCTGCTCCTGCAACAAAAAAGTAGCTAAATTATGTTTAGTTATCCATCTATAGCAAATTTGCTACGTTAGCCACTTTTTTATTGTAAGAGCAGACTTTCTTGTTATCATAGCAAGAAAATAAATTTCTGCAGCAAAGAAAAAGTAGCTAACACAGCAATGAATTATATTGAACTATCCATATGTATGTAAAATTAATTTGCTGCTGCAGCAAATTATTTTTTTCCGTGTAGGTTAGCGCGAGCAAAAATTGATTCTTGAAGCTAGAAAGAAAAACTTTGCCACATTTTACTATTTTTTCCGGTTGACACGACTATTTTTTTTCCGTGCATCTAAACGGAGAAAAATAATTTGCTGGCCCAGCAAATTTTCTGCTGATCTAGCAAAATATTTTCGTTATTATATGGACAACAAAAGGATTTGCTTAAAGGATTTGCTTTAGTACTACGAGTACTAATCACTATTTGCTAGATATAACTTGCTGAATCTATAAATTATTTTGCTTTAAAAATCATAATGGATTTATATAAGCAGTTGCAATTATATAAGTAGCTCCAATAGCAAATAAATTTGCTAAGGATAAATTATTTTGCATCAATAGCAAATTAATGTGATTCTTAGAACAAATATACTCAACAAATTTTTTCTATTCTGGAAACGAAACTACTTCTGCTCCGATAACAAATAATTTATAAAATTAGTTACATTAACTAAATTTTTTTGATATCACTACAAATATAAAGTAAGCAACGACGATTTTACTAAAAGATTAAAATTATTTCTCTGTGTAGGTTAGCGCGAGTAAAAATTCTTGAAGGTAGAAAGAAAAGCTGTGCCACATTTTACTATTTTTCCAGTTGACACGACTATACTTTTTTTCCGCGCATCTACGTATGTTATTTTATTTTACCGACTCAGAGGAGTCGAAAATCAGAGATTCATAGGTGCGAGGCACTCACCGTAATCGTTACATGTTGTGACACGGGTCATCGTGTAACTGTTTCACCCGGTCGTAATGTCGGGATTTACAGTACTCACAACGTGTCCGATGTAAACGAGCGTCGCCGAAATATTCCCCGCCCGATCGTGAATTCGCGTCACGGCCCGGACAGCCGGCTGTATTTGGATCGACATTCCGCGATTCGCATGCTCGGCTCGAGCCGGCCGGCCGGCCGGTCGTTCGTTTGGTCGGTCGGTCGGTCGATCGATCGTTTCGTCGCGTCGTTCGATCTTGGCATTGAACCGACCAAGCCGAGAAGTAGTAGCAATCTCGCTCGTAGCGGCTGCACCATGCATTATGTACGTCTGCAAACGCATAAACATAAATGTGTGCGTATGTATGTGTGTATACGCACTCCTCGTCGCAACTGATGAGAGATCTTTCGTAATCTGTAGATGGCAACGGCTTTAGTCGCTCCCGAAATAAATTTTGGTCTAATGCGCCATCGGAAAACGCCGCACGCGCTTCGCGCAATGAGCGATCCATGCGGATTCGATCTTGACGCAACGATGACACGATTGTTCCGTAAGATGCAGGATAAAATCAATAAAACAAATTAACCGCTTTCCAAAACCTCGAAAGCTATATGGAATAATTTTAAAAGATATATGGAATAATTTTGAATATTCCCTAACTATGCAGCTACAATTCTATTCTAATGTTTTAATGATATTAGGAGTAGGCGCGAAAACCTCACTGATTGAGTCAATAGTCAGGCCTTTTTTATTATTTATTTCTTTACATTTATATAGTCAGTTACCTGCATAATTGTTTTTTACGCCGACTTCTAATATCGTTAGAACATTAGGATAGGATTGAAGGTACGTAGGAATATTGATACAAAAGTATCTCGTATGTTTCGGGGCTTTTGAAAGGACGGTTTATTTCTTTTTTATTTCGTATTTATTAATTATTTACTAAATGTTCACTAAATATATTTCTAAAGTCGATTAAAGAAAGTTCTCTTTCGAAGTCAGTTAAAAGTAAAAGTTTCGCCAAGTGTCTGCAGATGTTCTCGCATTGTCAAGAAATTGACGGAATTATTCAATTTTCAGGTCTATATGCAAATTGCATCAATGATAGAAACAATCGCCACTATCAATAACTGATTTTTTCAGCGAGATTTTACTGATTGCAGTGTTATACTTACTGAAGCATTAATCATAAGTGCAGCATTTCAATGAAGCATACACTGACTGTACTTTAGAGAACACGATATAAGATTTATCGCGGCGAGAAGCGCAATTAACACGCGGCTCACGCAAAAGCACACGACCCTTTTTGTCGTTCAATGGCAAAAACGCAGGTCCAGAACGTCTGGCAGGAGACTTCTGGTTCCGCCGTTTGAGGCTGCAATCGCGGTAGATTTCTGAAACGCAGGTGCGTACTTTTTGCGTCGTGTGAGCGTTCATCTTAAATTTACCGTGTGCAAAGAGAGAAAGAGAGAGAGAAAGAGAGAACGATCGATCGTGGTTAACAATCGCAAGAAGCAGTCGCCGCATTACTTTGTCGACCGCTCGATGAGACGTCGAGCGACAAAAAAGGAATCCTATGAGACACAAAACAACAGTCTCCAGCGTAAAAACATGTGCGATCGCGAAACGCAAGCCCATCGCCGAGAGAATCCTCCCTATGCCCGCGATGACTTGACGCGAGGAATGTTTCCATTATTAACGATATCTTAACGAGCGAGCTTTATGGGGGAAACCAGCCTTGAGCGGTCGAGGCATTCCAAGAGAAGAAGTAAAGAGTAATTTTCGCATTAAGGGAAAATCAAAAACTGACTCACACACTAATATGGCCGCCTGCTCAATCGCATTTTCTGCATAGGCGGAGGTTATCGATGAAATCTTGGCGCGTTGCTGCATCAATGGGTCTCAAAAGCTGTCTCTATTGTTACTTCTCGCCGTTGTCGTCCAAGACGGAGATGAAGCGAGTTATCCGCTAAGGAGTCAGGAATCTCAGTCTGTGCGCGTCACGTCGACGGCTCTCCCGATCATTAATTGCGTTAAACAAGGTCCTCCTCACTGCGAACACGCCAATTTCCATTGATTCATCGCGGTCTGCAATTACGCTCTATTTACGTCCGCGCTAATTCGCACCTGCGACTTTCTCATTTTCTCACAGACACGCAGTGCATACTCGAAGGCGTCCTTGAACTCTGTACGCGGTGCTTGTCACTCGATGACGGGTTTATCGAGGCCTCTGAGGGCTAACTCATAGCTTGAGCA